GGGGCTGGCAGCAGCCTGGGGCCTAGGCCCAGCTAATGAGGGACAATTAGCCCCAAACCTGGTGGGGGCAGTTGAAAGAATCAGGCAGTGAAGGCAGATATTTGCTCCTCAAACAGTCTGGCGCACGGGGCAGAGGGCTGAGTGGCTGAGCCTTTGGGCTGGCTAGGCCCCCCTGCCAGGGCCCTTCCTCTCTTTTCCCTCCCCCCATCACCTCTAGGTGGAAGGCCTCTGTTTGTTCAGACCCAAGAGTGTGTTGTAAAGGAGGGGGGAGAGGGTAGTTTATGGGGGAAATCGCTGCCACCACCATCTGCCAGGGCTTGTCCCTTCTCTTCGTGACACCCCTCTCTCCACCCTCATGCAGCTGTCTGTGGGACTAGCAGGTCAGGACAGGGAGCTTTGCACCTCCAGATGCAGGGGCAGATAGAGGGGGAGAGAGAAGGTAGGAAAGGAGGACTAAGGGCAGGCTACCATGTGTTTCCTTGGGACCCCTCTCACCAGCATGGCTGAGTGGAGTGACCAGCAGTCCCAGATGCCCAGGGATTGAATGGGCCCCACAGGCAGTAGGGCATGTGCTGTCCTGCCCATGGTGCTGAAACCACCACGACACTCTCCTCCATGCCCCTGGACCAGGCTGAGGAGGCTGGAGGAGGAGGGTTGTACATGTAGGGTAAGCTAGCAAATCCACTTCTGTGATACCTTTGGCCTTGCTTTGAGTTGCATGAGCTCTTTATATATTTTGGATATTATACTAACCCCTCATCATAGGCGTTGTTTGCCAATATCTTCTCCCATTCAGTTGGTTGCCTTTTTGTTTTGTGGCGGTTGGCCTTGCTTTGATCCCAGCCCTAGGATCAAGCCCATTGTATCACACCCACCCCTCACTTCTCCCCAGACCAAAGCATTTACCAGAGAAATCCATCCTCCCCGCTCTGGGTCTAATCTCATTGCCTCACACCCTGCCTCCTTTCAACCTGACTTCCGGGAGGGATTCACAGAATCCAAGGTATGGCCTGGACCCAAATGGCTTTCCATGTTGGCTCCTTCACAAGTGATCTGCCCAAGCTTTGTTGTGGTGGCAACACAGCTTCCATACACTGGGGCTACGTTGCACTCCTAGCCTCTCACTCCACAAGAACCACCAGCTGCTGCTGCCTCCATCCCAACAATGGTCCAGACAACCTGTGCTGTTCTCTTTGGGAATGGGAAGGTCATTAATGACTTCTAGTCTAAAAGCACCAAATCCCTAGTGGAATGGAGCCTGGTTACATCTAGAAATGGAAGAATGAAAACGAGGCTGCACACCTGCTTATAATCACCCCATCTGCACCCTAACTACCCTCATACTCCCCAATACTACCACTGCTGCCAGTGTTCTGATGCCCAGAATCCCCCTATTTCCAGGATCCCCCTCTTTCCAGGCAAGACCTTACCCATGGTGTCACCTCAGCCAAGGAGCCAATTGGAGAATTGGTGAGGACACTCTGGGGAGAGAACAGGTGCTTTGTGGCACGCACTCTTCTCCATGCACCCTATTCTCTCAAAGATTCAGGAGTCAACTCGGCCAGGGTTAAGTACCCATTTATATTGTATACTAATAACACAAGGACCCAGGAGTTGACCCAAAACCCCAGGCGTGTGCATTCTAGCTGGGAAGATGTGTGTGTGGTTCTGGAAGTAACATTCAAAGCCTTGGGGCACAGTTTGAAATTCCTCATCTTCCATATTCCTCTTTCTCTTCAGGAGTACTGACCCCTGAGTGGGTGCACTCAGAGTCTGGGGGCCTCCATGAGAGTGGCTGCTTCAGGTGGCAAGAGGACACAAAGTGGGCTCTGAGGACTTCCCACAAGGGGTCACTGGCTGTGGTTTGCCCTGCCTCAGGGCTGGTGTCAGTCAGCCCCATGCACACCTCCCTCCTCCTCTCTCCTCTGCTCAGGGCCCGTGACATCACTGGCTGCTCCCAGAAGGCTGCCCTCTGCTCCTGAGCACGGACTCTCTGTATGTCTGGACCCTTGGCAGGACTGACACAGAGTGGAGGCTGTTACCAGGACCAGACCACCACCACCCCTGGAGCCTGCAGGGGTCTCAGGAGCCTGCCCAGGAGACTGACGCCCTCCCACTGAAGCTCCTACCTCGTTGCCTCCACACAGGTAGCTCACCTGCAGGCATTGTCTGCTCTGCCTTTCATGCTGTCTCCATGTCTTTGTGTGGCCAAGTCAACTTCTCTCTTCCTGTGTCTTTACAGCATCCACCCTCCTGCCCTTTCAACCTCCTACCCTGCTTTCCCATCTTGTGAGCAACGGTTTTTTTTTTTTATCAGATGAATTAATATGAATGTTAGGATGTGTGGGGTGGCTACTGAAAATGGAGTTTCTGGGAGTTGGGGCATGATGATTTTAGGTTTGGAGATTATTTAGGTTTGGATATTGAACCCGAGTCCCCACAGCTCCTCTGAGCCCTTGTCACTTAGGGGGGACACAGTCCTATGAAGGATTCAGGGTTTGGCTGGTATTCTGAGCTCCTACCCCCCATCCCCATCCGGGCAGAGCCCTTCACATTCCCAGCTTAGCTCTCCTCTCTCCATTGCTTTGGTAGCAATTATACAAACACGAAGCAGGGATGCGGCAGAGAAAGGAGCTGGAAATTTCAGCGTCTGGTGAGGAACTGGCTTCTAAACATCTCTGGGTGGCTCCTGACTTGTGGGAACCTCAAGTTTTCTTTTTGGAAAAAATTTTGCCTTCCTTTCTGACTTTCTGAAAATATGACAGTTTGAAGGGGAATGTGTCTCTGCCCAGAGAAGAGTGAGCAAAAGCCAATTTAGCTCCTGGATTTTAAAAGTAGCTCTGATTCCATGCTCTGTGAGTTCACTGTTTCACCTGTGCTGGTCTCCTCTCTCAGCTGCACTGTAATCTCTTGGGGGGCAAAAACCTTGCCCCTTTTCTTTTTGCTCCCTTCATCCTGAACAACCAGCAACATGCTCACAATGAACACCTCATTCAGTAAATAATGGCAGACTAGTTAACTGAACGAGGATGGCATGGTTATTACAGGAATGTTCTAAGCCTAAACTATTCTCTGCAGTGACCTCCAGCCCTGCCAGGGTTCCAGGCATAAAACGAGGTGGCATCAACTCCTGTGACTTGCTGATGAAAGCAAGAGAGACATGGTGGCCCATGACCTGTGTTTCTTGCTTGCGCTCACAATGGCTCCTATGTTGGTCAACAAACAGTTCTCTCCTGCTTCTCCCTCCCTCCCTTCTACACGCCTTCGGTAAATGTTAGTTGAATGAATGAGTGTCTGATCTCGGAGGGTTGGTCTCTGAGAGTGAAGCTTCACTGTGAGATCTAGAACTCTGCAGAGTCAACAGGAACCAACAATCCCAGCAAGTTAGAAACTGCCAAGAGATGTGTCTTCCAGAACAAGCCAGAGCTTCAGGCTTATTTACCTCTATTTCCAATGTGTAAGCCCAGAACCTCAATGCCTGGGGGTGGAGCTGAGCCCCATGTTTCCCCAGATCTTCCTGGAGAGAATAAAAAGCAGAGCAGGAGCAAGACCCTTCCCTAAAGTGCTCTGAAGGAAACTTTCTGGCTGGTGGTTTAGGAAATCTCACCTCAGAAGCTGCCTGAAAGTGAAGACAGAACTTTGTATGTGGTCTCCAGCCTCAGATGGTTGGCAACTAGGCTCTTTAGTCACTGATGCCCTCTTCTGGCTGGGCAGAACATTCAGGTTTTTTTGTTTTTTTAAAAAAAAAGTTTTTATTGATTTTCAGATAGAGGGGAAGGGAGAGGGAGGGAGAGAAACATCGGCTGCCTCACACATGCCCCACCCCCCCAGGGGACCGAGCCCACAACCAAGGCATGTGCCCTGAGCAGGTATCGAACTGGTGACCTCTAGGTGCATGGGACGACGTTCAATCTACTGAGCCACACTTGCCAGGCCCCTGTTTGTTTTTTGACCCTATTGAGTCTGAGCTCAGGAGGCAGGAGCCCTGGCCCAAGTGCATCACCCAGGGATGAGAAGGCTGTTGAGGGTCAGAGACAACCATTGTCTATTTGGAAAAAGAAAAGTCTGAATATTCGGAGGCATCATCCCTTTCCACCTCCCTGACCTCTTGTAACGGACACGTGAGGAATGAGAACTCTCCCACCCTCCTAGACCCTTATCAGGGCATCCAGAAAGATTCCGTTCTCTGCTGGCCCTGTGAGGCTTTACTTCATCACGGGAAGGTTTAAGTAGAGAAAATTTAAATGTTCTTAGCTAACCTACTGGCAAATTTTAGAAACCTGACCCTCTATCACAATATACTATAGCCCAAGACCAGTCTAAGCAAGAGACTTCACCCAAATCACCTTTGCTTATTGCAGGCCCAGCCCCAAGACGGAGAAGGCGATCCCAGGAGGAACTCCCCTCTCCGGTCTTCCCAGTGCCTGCCTTCTGGGAGGAGGCCAGCCTGGAGCATGCCACAGGAGGGTAAATGCCTGGGAGAAGTGGGAAGAACAGGGTGGCATAAGAAGGGAGGGAATATCTCAGGGCTCTGCTTTCATCCACATGGTTTCATCCGCCCTTGACCAGTGTTCTGGGGAAGCTTTGTCCAGTCACTCCCTCCCAGTCGACCTTGTTGCCCTTAGATCATAAGGCTCAGTGCATATGGTCACAAAGCAAAGCCTCACCCATGAGCTAGCTCCCAAAGAAAGTGGCATGTTAGGCCCTGACTGGTTTGCCTCAGCGGTTAGAGTGTCGTCCTGCGGTCCAGGGAGACCCGGGTTCGGTTCCTGCTAAGGGCACGTACCTCGGTTGCAGTTTGTCCCTGGCCCCGGTTGGGGTCGGGGTCGGGGTCGTGTGGGTGGCAACCACTTGATGTGTCTCTCTCACGTCTATGGTTTTTTCTCTCTCCCTCCCTCCTACTCTATCTGAAGATAAATGCAAAAAATGTCCTCAGGTGAGGATAAAAATAAAATAAAATAAAAATAAAAAAAGGAAGTGGCATGTTAGGGGGACCTGAGGAGCAGAAGGGGAGCAGTCCCCTGCAGGGGAGGACTTCCTGGTAGGAAGCCAGGCTGAAGGGTCCTTCATGCCACATGTGGGCTGGTGTGTGGATGCCTCCTTCTCATGCCCAGGGATCAGCAGTGTGAATCAGCTCGGGGGGCTCTTTGTGAATGGTCGGCCTCTGCCCCTGGACACTCGACAGCAGATTGTGCAGCTGGCGGTCAGTGGGATGCGGCCCTGCGACATCTCACGGAGCCTTAAGGTAGTGTGCTGGGACTTTCGCCCAGGTACGAGGACAGGAAGCAGAGGGAAGGGGCCCCTCTTAAGGCAAATCTGGGGCTGTTACAGACTCTGCGGGCCTTTGGGACTTGGGTTACTTCCTAGAAGATCCTCTTGGGGCCCAGGATGGGGAATTTCAGGCTCTCAAAGATGAGGCTGGATTCTCAGCTCTGTGGCCTGGTCCAGTATCTCACTTTGCCTTGCAGCCTCCTCTGTCCCAGGTATACTCCCCCCTGCCCATTACGCCTTACCTGTTTCTGCTTCTTACCTGACCCAGGTATCTAATGGCTGTGTGAGCAAGATCCTAGGGCGTTACTACCGCACAGGTGTCTTGGAGCCCAAGGGAATTGGTGGAAGCAAGCCACGGCTGGCCACACCCCCTGTGGTGGCTCGAATTGCCCAGCTGAAGGGTGAGTGCCCAGCCCTTTTTGCCTGGGAGATCCAACGCCAGCTCTGTGCTGAAGGGCTTTGCACCCAGGACAAGACTCCCAGTGTAAGTGGCTTCCTCTCCCCGCACGGGGGCTGGCAAACAGGTTGTCTGGGGAGCAGATCTCTTCTTGTTCAGTAACGGGGCCATCCCAGGCTGGCAGGCAGGGATCCTGGGCTCTCGCCAAAGACAGGTGAGAAGGAGAAAGCATGGGGAAAGAGAAAAGCCTGCCTTTGGGAATTGTGTGGGCCGGGACAGAGGAGAGAAAGGATGCTGAGAACTATCCTTAGGATTCAGCCCTGGGACTGTGTTCCACCTTCCCACTCAACACCCTGACACCCCCAGGTCTCCTCTATCAACCGAGTCCTGCGGGCACTACAGGAGGGCCAGAGACTGCCATGGGCACAGCTCAGATCACCAGGTGGGTCTTTGGTTGCCCCTAGGGATGATAGAGCCAAACCTAAGCATTTTACAGTTATTTATAGTCTTATTCTCTCCTGGCAGAAGAATATTGAGGCTCAGAGAAGGGAAATGACTTCCCCAAGGTCACCAGCTAGTCGCTGGCAGGTCCTAGAACAGAACCCAGGTCCTCTAAGTCCTAGGTTCACAGGTTCTTCTGATGAAGAGGCAGGACTGGGCCTTCTAATCCTCCCTCTGCCTCATGCACAGCTTCTCAGAGCACCTTTTATGACCTGTGAAATCATGCAAATCTGGACCAACAATGTTGCTGTTTCCTTTCAAACCCTAAGCATGCACCTACCATGGCATTGAGCATGCCTCCTACCAAGTGCCTCTTCAGTGACCTCCAAGGGACTGTGAGTGCCTGACCAGGGCAGCTCTGCTCTTATACCCATACTGTCCCCTGTCCATAGCCCCAGGGCCTCAGGGACCCCATCTGACCAGAGGAATTACCATCACAAACCATCACAAGCCATCATCCCCCTTCTCAGCTGTTTTGGTTCCAGTTCCTCACACTCTCCATAGTGGCTCTGAGGCTCCTCGTGGTCCCCATCCAGGGACTGGCCACCGGAATCGGACTATCTTCTCCCCAGGCCAAGCTGAAGCGCTGGAGAAAGGTGCCGGTTTGGGGTAGACAGTGGGTCAGAGGCTGCTTGGTGTGACATGTGAAGACAGTGGCCCTGAAGCCTGTGGGCAAAGGTTGAGAGGTGGAGGGTGTGGTGGTCTTATTTTGGGGGCAAGGGTAGTTTAGAATTATAGCAGGTGGGGTGTGGGGCCTGAGGGGGAGGCCTATGCCTTGCTCCTCTCCCCATGCTCTTGCCATGAGCCTGGATCCCCGCAGAGTTCCAGCGTGGGCAGTATCCTGATTCAGTGGCCCGTGGGAAGCTGGCTGCTTCCACCTCTTTGCCTGAGGACACGGTGAGGGTGAGTGAGCTCTGCCACATTGTGTGCACAAACCACAAGGACAGTCTGTGCCGGAAAGACTTCGGGTTCTGGTGAGGTGGGACGGGGGCAAGAAGGTGGAAACAAATTTGTTTGGAGCAGAAATTAGAGACAAGCCCCTTCCTTTTTTCTTCTGCTGATTGCTCTCCTCCCCTTTCACTCCAAGCCTTTGAGCTGAGAAAGAAGGCAGAGAGCAAAGGCCAGAGCAGGAAGGGAAGATGTCAGGTCTCAGGAAGGGTCTGTGCTCCGAGTCCAGGCCAGGAATCAGTGGTGAGAGCAGGTAGAGGAGAAGCACAGTCAGCTACTTTGTTTCTGCCCTTCCTCAGGTCTGGTTTTCCAACCGAAGAGCCAAGTGGCGCCGACAAGAGAAGCTCAAGTGTGAGATGCAGCTTCCAGGTAATTTCTCTGAGTATTTTTCCATCCATCCAACCATCCATCCAACCATCCATCCTTCCATCCATCCATCCATCCATCCATCCATCCATCCATCCATGTATCCATCCAGTCATGTATCTATTTACCTTTCCATCCATCCATCCATCCATCCATCCATCCATCCATCCATCCATCCATCCATCCTGTCACATATCTATTCACCTTTCCATCCATCCATCCATCCATCCATCCATCCATCCATCCATCCATCCATCCATCCATCCATCCTGTCACATATCTATTCACCTTTCCATCCATCCATCCATCCATCCATCCATCCATCCATCCATCCATCCATCTATCCATCCAGTCATGTATCTATTTACCTTTCCATCCATCCATCCATCCATCCATCCATCCATCCATCCATCCATCCATCCATGAATCCATCCATCCATGCATCCATCCATGCATCCATCCTTCCATGCATCCATCTACCCACCCATCTAACATTTACTTGGCCTTCTCATGTGTCAGGTCCTTGTTAGATGCTGGACACACACAGTCCCTGCTCTTCAGGGCTGTACTGTCCTCAGTTTGCCATCCCTGGAATTCAATCTTTCTTCCCTGACCTCCAGGTTCTGCCATTTCAGAGTCGTAGCATCCATCTTCTCTCACCCCTGCCAGAAGTTGTTGCCTTTCCTAGAGCCTTCCTGCCTCTGCCACTACCCCTGTCCCTGAACCCTGGTTTCTCCCTCTGAGTGGATCCACTCTCACCTTGTAGGTGCTTCTCGGGGTCTGAGTGTACCAAGTGCTTCCCCAGCGATTGTCTCTGCACAGGTATCCAAGAAAGAGGGGAGTTTATGAACTTGGAAGACTAAAGGGCTCACAGCTTCTCCCATTCCCAGTGAAGGCTGAGCTACATTTCATGACTCTCCTGGGTCCCCACAGTGCACATTTCCAGAAAGTGCCATCCTCATAGTCTACTGTGTGCATGGCACCCTCTGGAGTTGTGTAGTGTATAGTCTGGGGGGCGGGCAGCCTGCGGGTCCCAGTCCTGCTAAACAGAAGGCATCGCTGGCAGCCGAGGATGTTCTCTTGCTTTTTTCTAGCAGTCCCCTGGCAGTGTAACCACAATGGCCCTGCCTGTCCCAGAATCCTTGGGTCCCTCCTACTATCAGCTGTGCCGGGGAACAGCATCAGACAGGTGTCTGGGTGACACCCCACCCCAAGCCTGTCTCAAGCCCTGCTGTGGTAAGACTACAGGCCAGGCCTCACTCCTTCAGGGTGTGGGGAGGGCTAGTTGACTCCACAGGAGGCCATGGTTCTCTGGTTAGGGTCATCAAAAGAAACTCAAATCAGCTTTCCTCCTTCCTTGCATGGCCCACAAAGCAGGGGAGTAGTATCCCCTGAGTGTATAGTACCACTGACAACCATAGCAAGAAAAGGGGGTGGGATTGGGATTTGAGTGTTTCTCTCCAGGGTACAGAGCCAATGTCTGTGTGTCTCCTCATCAGTGACTTTGAAGGGTGGGTGGCAGCAACAAGCCCAAGCTCACCCTCTCTTTGTCCTTGCAGGCTACCTGCCCCCTACAGCTGAGCCCCCTGGCTTCAGTACTGTCCTGCCACCCTTGCCTTTCCTTCCACTGTCCCTGCCGTCGTTCTTGGTGCCCCTCGGGCCTGGCTCTGGTTTGGCTCTCCACTACTGCGAGGCCTGCGACGAGGGAGGAGGGCCGGAGCGGGAAGGAGATGGGGTGCAGAGGGTCTGATGCCAGCCCGTCCAAGCACACCATTGCTCCTTCCTCCTGCCTGCGTCTCCTCCTCACCTGGGGACCTTGCCTGGTCCTGCCCTACTGCCCTTCTTCTGTGTCACCTGATTTGAGGGGCTGGAGAAATCTTGCCCACCCACTTCTCACAGTGGCCTTCAAAGGCCTGCCCTTGGCTGTAATAAAACAGTTTTTAAATGAACAGTAGTTCCTGTTGTCCTTCATGGTTTTCCCATGAGCACTCATACTCCCACCCTTAGATTTAACAACTATAAATAGTTTGCCCTACATCTATCTATCTATCTATCTATCTATCTATCTATCTATCTATCTATCATCATCTATTTGATCTATGAATGTATATATGGATGTATGTATCATCTATCTAGCTAATATATTTATGTGTTTATGTAACTATGTATGTGTATATATATGTATCTAGCTAGCTATCTACCTATATATATATGTAAGTATGTATTTATCTATCTATCTTGGTATTTGAGTGCACACACACACACACACACACAGACACACACACACACTCACAGATAGTATGTCATGGCACACACCTGTAAGTCCTCCAGCATGTATCTTCAAAAAATAAACTTTTCTTATATAGCCACACCATTACCACATCTGAAAAAATTTTGAAAAAATTCCTTAATCTAAAGAAAAGACATGAATTATTTAATTGCATGTGTGTGTGTGTGTGTGTGTGTGTGTGTGTGTTGCATAGCAGCAAACAACAGACATGCCATTTTCACATTCTGCTTGTCCCTTTATACATGCTCCTAAAGCATGTTTTTTTGCTGCTTCTTGGCAGTAAATTCCATATCTATTCAATTTTGTTCCCTGCAGAGAAATCTCTGGGCCCCGCCTGGGAAGCCTTGGGATGTAGGGAAAAAGAAGAATATAGAGGAAATTGTGTGAAGAAAGGGGTGTTTGGGATGGGGAATGGGCTCATCCCTCCAAATTCTTTCCCTTTTGAAGAGCAGGGATGGAATGATGATACAAAAGGGTGGGGGGAGTGGGAACATATTTGTTTACTCCAGGGACTTGTCCAGAAGTTGTCCTTCAAGAGGTCCCTTTATCATCAAACACTCTAGAATTATGCTGTTCAATGAATAGCCACCAACCACATGTGGCTATTAAAATTAAATGAATAATTCATTTCCTGTCTCACACTAGTTATATATCAAATGCCCAATAGTCACATGTGGCCCAAGGCTACTGTATTGGACAGTAGACATTTCCATCAGCTCAGGAAGTTCTATGGGGCAGCACAGCTCTAGAATAAAATTCTGAGGGTAACAGAGCATCCCTGTCCCTGCTCTGCCTTCAGTACCCTCAAGCTGGAGGCCTGCTGGACAGACTGCCCAGGGAAATGGGTGAGGGTTTGTGGGGTGACAATCTGCATAGCACCATTTGAGAATAAGCCATTCACTTCAGTGACAGGACTGACGTCAGCAATGGAAGAAGTTGTCAGCTGAGACCCCATGACTGAGCACATTCAAGTGGAGAATGGATGGCCATTTGTGGGGAATAGGGCATAGAAGAGAAAGTGTGTGCATGTATCCTCACACCCACACACATGCCCACTCACACGAGTGTGGATATGTATTTGTGGAATGCTGAGAGATTCTGCAGTCAATAACCTCCAAGGTCCTCTCTGAAGATGTGTTCTACTCCATATCAATGACCTGCTCTTAATGTTCTCTAGGAAAGGAGGTTCCTTGGCCTCTAGTGTTCTCAAGCGTCACTGATAGGATAAAATTTAAATTCTTTTGTATCTCTTGAGGGGAAACATACTTACAAAACTCTGAGGTCATTTTCCTCTATCCAAACACAACATCTCTCATGTTCCAGTTTCCGCTGTTCCTCTAAGTGGACTGAAAAACCAGGCACTTGTGGTATGGGGCAGTTTTCTCAAAGTGGGGATCAGGCATCACTGCTGGTATCTGAGAACATTTTAGGAGGTGTGTGGATGCTGCTTTAAATGATATTGAGTCAGAAATGAGAAAATGATTTCCTTTTCAACTCCATTTCAATTCTGATTGCATCAAAGAGAAAGTCTTCATTTTGATCCTAGTTTTAGTGCCTCAGTAACAGTTGTTAATCTTTTTTTTTTTTTTTTTTTTTTTTTTTTAACAGAGGGAAAGGGAACCTTCGTCTCTGTGTCTTGGGCAGGGAAGGGAAAATCTAACTGGATTGATAGCACCTCTTTTTTTCATGGTATTTATTTTTATGGTCACTTTTTATTTCTGGCAAGTGATTCTGGTCTTTCGTTTTATGATTGTGATTAAAATATTCCTTTCTAAATAAAAGTACTATGAGTCTATGTCAATAAAAATATTAATAGAGGAGATGGCAAATAGATAAACATCACAGCTATGAAGACAGTGCAAGAATGACAGTCACTTTGGAAGCTCTGTTTTGATGGAAAGAGTAGTGGACATTAGAGTCCACTCTAAGTGAAGAACTGAGCCAGAGGTCCCAGTCATGGAACCTTGGGACAATCACTCCAGCTCCTTGTAAAAGGTGGGCAGTGATGGGGAAAATATCTGTTGTGCCCAACTCAATGGACCAAAGGTAATGACAAGATGAGATGACTGGTAAACTTCAGGGGTAATGGGGATGGTGGTGAGGGGGTGGGCTATATAGGCATAAGGTATTATCATTACCCTGTGCCCATAAGATTAATAAGGCTTCATTCTTTCTAAACCAAAGAACATTTAGTCACATCTGGATTTTGAGCCCTTCAGGGCAAGGCTGACTCCTCACGGCATCACTGGGCAGAATCTGGTGGTTCTGGTGGGGATGTGGAGGATCAATGAAAGACCCACTGATCTTCTAGTTACCATTTGGTTTCCCCTCTTCTGGCTAGAACTTGGAGTGGTCCGGGGCTTCAGTCTCAACCTCCCCACCTCCTCCAGACTCCTACTCTATACTGAATAAGATGCACACCAGGGTCTTGAGGGTGGCCTTTTGTGATGTATTATTGCTTGAAACAGATGTTTTGTTAAACTGGGTAGGAAAAGTTGCGTAACAGATATTCTTCTCATGGATCTTGACTCTGGGGTTTCTGTTTTGTTTAGTGTAGTATTTTCTCCGGGAGGAACTGGATTTCGGTAAGTGGCATCCCATTGACCTGGGGAGGGAAGAGGACATGGAAACCTTTAGTCAGTCATTTGCTGATCTCTGGTTTTTAGGAAAAAACCTGTAAGATCCTGTGGAAAGAGAGAGAGAATAAAGTGATTTGTCCTGTTCTCTGAGGGATCATGTAGACATGTAAAGTTAATTTATATAAGGCAGTAGAAAAATTATTTCTTTAAGTAAAATTAATGGTGCAGAAATATTGTCAGAGTTCTTAGGGTGACTGCAGTCAATAGGTACAATTTACTAAGTGAAAGCGTACTAGATGCCAGGCTGTTTACTAAGCATTTTACAATCATCATCTCACGTAACACAACAATCGTATGAGATAAATACTATATTCCCATTTCACCATGAGAAACAGATGCAAAGAGGTTTGTTTGCCCAAGGCCAAACAGGTTTAATGGATAAAAATCTAATTACAATCCAGTTCTGAGTCCAGAAGTTAGCTCTTAACCGCTACAGTATGTCTACTAGAATGTCAGGCCTGGAAGGAGCCTGAGAAATTTAGTTCCATCCAAGCAACTTTATTTTTTATTTTTATTTTTTTAGATAGAGTGGGAGGGAGAGAGAGAAGAAGGAGAGAGAGAGAGAGAGAGAGAGAGAGAAACATCGACATGAAAGGAACACATTGAGTGGCTGCCTCCTGCCGACCCAACCAGGGCCGGGGACAAACTGCAACCGAGGTACATGCCCCTAGCGGGAACCGAACCCAGGTCTCTCTGGACCGCAGGCTGATGCTCTAACCGCTGAGCTAAACTGGCCAGGGCAATCCAAGCAACTTTAGAAAACAAGCCCGGTGGAATTTCATTTTATTTTTCCCAATTTGGCCATAGTAAAAGGTTTGTGTAGAAAACTGGTAGAAAATGGAGGAAACAAGTGAACACATATTGGGGGGATCTACGTCTTCACATCACCCTATGAAGTAGATATTATTCCCATTTTACAGACAAGGAAACCAAGGCCTAGAAATGTTAAAGCAATTTTCTCCAAAGACCAAGTCTTACTAACTCTTGGTTCCAGGTCTATATGACATCAAAACCAAAGCTCTTTCTACAGCGTCTTCATCACTTTCCAAGCCAGGCAAGAGAGGTGGATTGTGAAGGCATAGGTCTAAGAGCAGTGAGCTGTGAACAGGGAATGATGGCATGGAGGCAACATTTTAGAAAGGGGAACTTGGTGTGAAGAACAGATTAGGTGGGGATGGATCTGGCGGCAGTGAGTGCTTCTTGGGAAGACCTTGTAGTGCAGGCTTTTGGTAAAAAGCCTGAAACCACAGGTAGTAATAACAATTAAGAAGGAGCAAGCAAGCCCTGGCTGGTGTGGCTCAGTTAGTTAGAGTGTCATCCCGAATGCTGAAAGGTTGTGGGTTTGATTCCCAGTCAGGGCGCATGCCTAGATTGTGGGTTCGATCCTTGGTCAGGGCATGTACAGAAGGCAACCAATCAATGTTCTCTCTCACATCAATGTTTCTCTCTTTATCACCCTCCTTCCCTCTTTCTCTCTTCCCCCCTCTCTCAAATAAATAAGTATATCCTCGGGTGAGGATTTAAAAAAAGAAGAAGGAGCAAGCATTAGAGAGGCCTTGAGGCCTTGTTAAGGAAGTAGCTAAGAATTTTCAGGGGGGTTGGTGAAGGAGCAAAAGGGAAGAAAGAGATGGTGCTGAGGTCTTGAGCCTGAGCCTTCTGGGAGGATGGCAATGACCTAGATGGCCATGGGGTGGGCAGAAATAATTGTCTTAATAATTGTCTTTGGCCCAGCCAGTGTGGCTCACTGATTGAGCATCGACCCATGCACCAAGAAGTTGCCAGTTCGATTCCCGGTCAGGGCACATGCCCAGGTTGTGGGCC